TGTGATGGCACATGCCTGTAGTCCCAGCTGCTTGGCAGAAGGATCACCTCAGTCCAGGAGGTAAAATAAAATAAAATAATAAAATAAAATGTAATTAGCAGTTTTTGTCATTCATACATGCTGCATTTAATAAATGATACCATGTTATAAAGAGCTTTTCTATTTCCTCGTCCTTATTTTCTGGCAAGGCAAAATGCACCAGGCCCCTATTGTACCTCTCCTCTGCCCAGGGATCAGCCACTTCTTCAAGAAGGGTGGCATCTGAGTGTTAACTGTGCCTCATCTTCATTCTCACTGGGACATGCATGGTGCGGTCAGTGGCTAGAGCTAGACCAGACACCTTTTTTTAAAAATCACAATTCATATTTATTGATGCCTCCAGTTTTAATCTACCCTAGAATTCTTTCTCCATTTTATATTTGTAGGAACACTGATCCTAACTTCTCCTATATATTTACTCAAGTGACCAGTCCTAAAGTACACATAAAATAGTTTTGAAATTACTGTTCCCGTCTGTCATCACAAACCTTCTAAATAAAATGTCAGGATTTCTTTGTACTTCTTTATGTTGTTAGACTGTTTCACACTGAGGGTATATAGCCAGAGTACTTTAGTCAGAAGTCACTGAGATTTATTTTTTTTCTGTATTATGCTAACATTTGATTCTATCTATATTTAGTTTTACGATTTTGCCTCCTCATCTTGTTGATTTAATTTATTTTTTATTTTTATTTGTTTTTTTGAGTTGGAGTCTCACTCTGTTGCTCTGGCTGGCGTGCAATGGCATGATCACAGCTCACTGCTGCCTCAACCTCCTGGCCTCAGGCAATCCTCCTGCCTCGGTTTCCCAAGTAACTGGGACTACAGACATACACCACCACCCCTAGCTGATTTTTTTGGAGAGATGAGGTCTCGCTATGTTGCCTAGGTTGGGCTCAAACTCCTGGTCTCAAGCAATCTTCTCACCTTGGCCTCCCAAAGTGCTGAGTTTATAGGCATGAGCCACCATGTCTGACCCTTGAAGTCACTCTGCAGCAATTTATAGAGATTGTTCTCATTCTTTCTTTGTATCCACTTTAGGGACCTACCATACTTTTTTTTTTTTTTTTTTTTTGAGTTGGAGTCTCACTCTGTCGCCCAGACTGGAGTGCAGTGGCAGCTCCCGGCCACCGCAGCCTCGACCTGCTGGGCTCCGGCGATCCTTCCGCCTCAGCCTTCCAAGTAGCTGGAATTACAGGCATGCACTACCATGCCCGGCTGATTTTTTTATTTATTGTAGAGATGTGGTCTCGCTGCCCAGGTGGGTCTTGAACCCACGTGCTCAGGCAATCCACTCACCTCAGTCTCCCAAAGGCGCGGGATTACAGGCTGAGCCACCGAGCCCGGCCTTTTTTTTTTTTTTTTTTTGAGTCAGGGTCTCACTCTGTTGCCCAGACTGGAGTGCAGTGGCATGCTCACAGCAACCACAGCCTCAACTTGCTGGGTTCAGGCAGTCCTTCTGCCTCAGTCTTCCAGGTGGCTGGAACTACAGACACCTGCCACCATGCCCAGCTAATTTTTTTATTTATAGGTCTCGCCAGGTTGCCCAGGCTGGTCTCAAACCCCTGGGCTTAGGCAACCTCTAGTCTCAGCCTCCCAAAGTGCTGGGATTGCAGACTTGAGTCACTGTGCCTGAGCAGGATCTACCATACTTTTTTCTTTTTCTTTTTTTGAGTTGGAGTCTCACTTTGTTGCCCAGGCTGGAGTGCAGTGGCATGCTCATAGCCACCACAGCCTTGACCTACTGGGCTCAGGCATTCCTTCCACCTCAGCCTTCCAAATAGCTGGAACTACAGGCATGCTCAACCATGCCAGGCTAATTTTTTGGTTTATTGTAGTGGTGAGGGCTCACCAAGTTGCCCAGGCTGGTCTCGAACCCATGGGCTCAGGCAGTCCTCTCACCTCGGCCTCTCAAAGTACTGGGATTATAGGCATGAGCTAACGTGCCCAGCTGACCTACCATATTTTAGCCATTCTCCTGTGTTTGGGCCTTTTGGTTATTCCTATTATCTTGCTATTAAAAATAATGCCACAGTAAAGAACCTTAAGCATGTTCCCACCCCCCACCCCCATTGTTGGAGATACATTTTCATTGTAAATTCCTAAATGTAGGATTGCTGGGTCAGAGGGTAAAAGTATGTATTGTTTAGTTAAATGTTGCCAAATTCCTTATTTTTCTACTTTCCCAGTCATCAGCCTAGGATTTACCTTTCTGGGTTCAAGTAAGTTTAGAGTGATTTACTTCTAAAGTAAGATACTTTTGAGACTGACAAATGCCAAACTAGATTGGATACTGGGACATCAGGCATAAACTGGGATTTTCCTAGGGAGATTGTGATGTGTGGTCACCCTCTATAAGTTAATTATCACTTCTCTTCCTGCTTTCCAGGTTTTAGAACTTTGTCCTCCTCTTTCCTATTGTTTGTCCTTATGACCATGTACCTTTTTAAAAATCTCATTACTGGCACGCTCATGGCCACCCCATCATCGACCTTCTGGGCTCCAGCGATCCTTCCACCTCAGCCTTCCCAGTAACTGGAACTACAGGCGCGCACTACCACGCCCAGCTATTTTTTATTTTATTGTAGAGATAGGGTCTCACCAAGTTGCCTGGGCTGGTCTCAAACCCGTGGGCTCAGGCAATCCACTCGCCTTGGCCTCCCCAAGTGCTGGGATTACAGACTGAGCCACCGAGCCCAGCCTCATTACTGTTTTAATAGGTTACAGGAGAGACTGGAGATGAATGAATGTACTTATTCAATCTGATATCTTAAACTAGAAGCTTAAAAATTGTTATTATCTGGGACTTTTATACGTAAAGAAACCAGTTGTGCATGAGGATAGATTATAGAAATTTGCAGATATGGTTAGATTCAGAAAGGTCATCATAGCCTTAGTTAGGAAGATAGTAGAAGATGCAGTCTTATGAAAGGAGAAGATAAAGCAAGAAAGAAGATGGCCTGGGATCCAGGAAATGGGCCCAGTGCAAGATTACAGCTCTGCCTTGGCCCAGAGAGCAGGCAGAGTGCTGCAGGAGGGAGGGCTTCCAGAGGCAGAGCAGAGCTGTGAGACTTGCAGATGATGTTTGGTCATTTAAAAATTTTATTACTAGCCTTTATCCATTGTAATATCTGGAAAAATTGGTGGTGGAAATAGGGAAAAACAATTTTTAAATGGATGCAGATATTAATTTCAGGAAAAGGAAAGTTGTTAGGGAAAGGAAATAACTTTAGTATACTGTTTGGTTCACAAATGATGAATATATACATTGTTACATTAGTGTACTGTCTCTAATTATGAAATTGATTGTACTCCATTGGACAGTGAATAAGAGTATATGTGAATTAAGTCTTCTTATGCCATAACATTCATCAGTGAGTAACATTTAAAATGAATAAGACCAGAAATAGCAGTATAAGCCCATTGTTTGGAAATATGGATATAAATACCAGAAGAAATAAGTGAAATAGGTATCCCTGGGAAATGTAATTAGTCACTACAGGCTGGTAGAAGGTGACAGGGTTTTCGTTTCATCTTTTGGTGTACGTATATAAGAATTAACGAGACCTTCAGTGAGAATTCCTGCTCATGTCAGTCCACTTCTGTCATGTCTCTGCTGGCAATTGAAGCCTAAGACCACAGTTTGAATGTGTCTTAGGACTCTCTGGTGGGTTAAGCACCTGTCATTGAGCCATAGCGACAAATAAGACATTCCCTCTGTGAATTCCCTCTCCTTTGTGCTGGAGACATTTGTGGACCCAGGAACAACAGGAGGAAGGCAGATTTTTGACTTGGGCCTTGCAGGGCTGTGGTTTTGGAGTTATTTTCTGTGTAGGGTTATATATTGTCTACATGGGTATAAAATGGCAAAACAGAAGCACTTATACTGCTATTTTAAAGCAGGTCTTCAAATACTGACAGAATGGAGATGAATAGCAGCCCCTAGGGCATACCATTAGCAAGTCTTCAGTCTCAGTAGGCGAGCTGGCTCTGGTGGTTCAGAAGGAGAGGAATCAATTTAAGGAGCATACACAACATGGTGGCAATGCCATTAGGATTTTATATTTTCTTACTCTCTTGTTTTAGTAATTCTGTTTTGGTAAGCAAGTATTGTTTGATTTGCCAACATTGGGTTCTTGACCACAGTTCCAGACTTGTTTTATATAAAGCAAGAGTCTCATGGGTTCTGACAATTTAGAATACAAAAGAGGCTTGAATTGTCTTGTCCTCTCCTTTATTTGGAGAGGTTACAAGCTCATCTGGACCCTAATTCCCTGTGTGGTCAGGGTTTAAATTTCTAGAAACACAAGTTAGAATCACCCACATTTTATCCCTTATTTGCAGTCCTCCTTTCTGGCCAAATGGTGTTGGGAAACAAGCATGCTATGGTCTACCCTGACTCAGTTTCCCTGTTGTACTCAAGGCTGTCCAGTACCTCCAGCTCTCACTGCAATCCCATGCTGGGGAAGCAGGCCGCCTGGCATACCTGGTGCCACCAGTGGTGCTGGAGGCGGGAGGCGAGGTGCATGCCCTGAGTCTAGGAGTCATGTGGCTTAGAGACAGAGTAGAAGCCCAGGCTGGTGACTGGGCTGTGAGGTGAGGAGGCTCAGGTCTTGTGGCCCTGGAGGAGGAGGAAGAGGGTCCCTTTGCTGTGCTAGCAATAACCTGTTAGAAAATATATCAGAGAGACCCTATTTCCTACTATTAATTAAAGAAGCAAACACTGCCAAGCCATAATTTTATAAGCAGCACATGTGACCCATTGGATGTAAAGAGCAATGTTTCCTAGAGTTCTCAAGAGAGAGTTCTCAAGAGAGCCTGTACTGACTGTGCTGCCAGGCCTCCCCTCTAGCCTCCTGCTTGAGTAGCCTGAACCATGCTGCCTTTCAACCTAGTGCTGACTAGAGAGCCTACAGCTTGCACAAGGAGGACTCACAACATACATCTCTTTTTGTTTTCAGAAGTGACCGGGGAGGCGCGTCCTTACCATGGGAAGGAGGCTGTGGATCCATGGCAGGGACGGTCCCGAGGAGGTGACCCCACGCACTTCCACACAGTGAACGTGGCGCAGCCAGTCCGCTTCAGTAGTAAGTTGCAGACCTGCCCTGACCACACCAATGCCCCGAGTATGGCCTGACATGGCCCGACTCTCCAGTGCTACTCTGCCATGTGACGGGTTTCACAAAACAGTCATTGGGGGGATGAGTGTGACTGCATGGTGAACCTCCCAAGGTCATGCAGCTCCTGAGTGTGAAGCAAGACTTGAGGCCCCAGAAGTCATGTGGGCTCAGGCTGCTTGTTTTCACAGAGCCCCTGCCTTTCAGAACCAGATAGCTCCAGCCCTCGGAAACCCCGTAGTTGAATTGTTACCTCTTACAGATGGAGAAACTGGCTCTGAGAGATTAGATACAGCTGATGGAGTGGGAAAGCTTTACATCTGTTTTTCTTATTTTTATAAAGTTATTTAATTAATTACCTATGATGTTGAGATTTTAAAGGAGTGTAACAAGATCAAGAAAGGGGAGAAAAAACCACCACTGAAATTGCCCACCCATCCTTAGCAGATATGCTCAAGTGCTCTGCACTTGACTATACTGGGCAGCAGTACTGAGACAGGCAGGACTGATGTTCAGGGTACCTGCTGCTGTGCTCAGGGGTCTGTCCACCTGTGTTATTGCTCATCCCCCATTCTCTCAGCACTGGCAAGCACCTCAGAGGACACTCTGTGCTCTTGCCTGTGCTGACTACTGGCAGTACTGGGCTAGGCAGCTGAGCAGCAGTGAGCTTTGCCTGAGCTCGACACTGGCTTGGGAGACTTGAGTTCCAACTGGCTTATCAGCTCTGCCATCTGTGGCACCACCCAGGCCTCCCTTTCTCATCTTGGGGAGGCAGGGACAAGTCACATGGTCTCATGGCCCTCCCTGCTCAGATCTGCTGAGCTGCTGTTTTAGGGGAGAGTGCTTGCCAGCATCCCACTACAAATGTGAGCAGAAAAGGAAGGAGAGGAGTCAGCACAGGAGGCAGTGGGCTTTCAGAAGGGGAGGGTGGGAGAGCCAGGCACCAGAAGCAAGGCCTCACAGTGAGCTGTGGGGGAGCTGTGCTGTCTTGTTAACTCAGAGAATAAAGTCCACTTTACTAGTGAGAAGATTAAAAAATCTTATAGAAATGGAAGGAATCACTGAATATACTTATATCTTAGGTTGGATCTGCATTCTAGAAAAACTTGAACATTTCTACAAAGTAGGGCAACCCCTTCGGGCCCCCTCCCACCGTGGGAACTTTTCTGTCCTCAATAAATCCTGTTTTAAAAAAACATAAACAAAAAAAAAAAGTATATTGTCTCAGAAGCAGGAGTTTATCATGTTGAACCTCAGTTTCCCGATATCTCTAGGGTAATTCCGAGGTATGCCTATTCCTGAAGCAGCACATACATAATTTTATTTTTGGAGTCAGATCCTAATTTGGGGAACAACTCCCCTTCTGTCCTTCATGTTTCCTAGGGAAGTGCCCGACAGGGTGGCATCACTATGAAGGCACGGCCAGCTGCTACAGGGTCTACCTGAGTGGAGAGAACTACTGGGATGCTGCACAGACCTGCCAGCGCCTAAACGGCTCCCTTGCCACCTTCTCTACTGACCAGGAGCTTCGTTTCGTCCTGGCCCAGGAATGGGACCAGCCCGAGCGGAGCTTTGGTTGGAAGGACCAGCGCAAGTGAGTCCTGGGCTGGGGCCCTTAGGGACCTGGAGTAAGGGTCTGATGACCACCAAGCACATGACTTCTGACTGCCCCATCACACTCCTAGGGCATAGCCGATAGCCAGCATGTTGGATTAGCAAAGACCAGCCCTACCCACTGGACCACATGGGGGTTAGGAGTGTGGACTGAGATAAGTAGGAACTTGAATAGAGGGGCAGGGGCAGGCTGGGCTCTGCTGCCACCATGTAGGACTGTGGGCTGACCCTTCTTGTTGGTCCACCTCCACGGGTACAACTAGAGTTGTTGGCTGAGGGCAGGTGGTGGGGAGTAGGGGGTGCTGGCTTGTGGGGATAGGAGATTGCTCAATGTGGGGCTTTGTGGGCCTAGCACAAGTGGTGAGAAGTGGGCAGTGATTCCTTCTGAGAAAGCAAGCCCTGCGGCCCTGTGCTTGGTGCATTCCATGGGTCTGCTCATTCAGTCCTCCTAGAAACCTTTGGGCCCAGAGTGGGTGTGCATGTAAGTGGACATGTGCTTGCTGAGAGTGTGCTGAGATTCAAGCCTAGGCATTCTGACCCCAGAGCCAGGTCCTTGACCGCCAGTCTCAGCTATATTGAGGAAAGAGTGTAGAAGTAGCAGCCGACTGCTGCTGTTATGCTGTCCCCATCATGCTGCCAGGAGTTGGAGGTTGGTGGCAGCCAGTTGCCACTCCCTCCAAAGGGAGGACAGCTCTGCAGGGGAGTGAGTTGCAGTGTGCTGTCTCCTGGCTGCCTGCTGCCCTCAATGATAGCACAGGCGGCCCCTGTTGTGGGAGCATGATGCCTACAGCAGGTGGGCTGAGGGCCTTCATTCAAGACCCGAACTGGGTTTTGGCTCCACAGTTATGCCCTATGTGACACTGGCAAATCACAAGATTGAGCTGTTTTTCCTTCTGCAGCCACAAGGGAGGAAAATAACTCTTAGCTCACAGGGTATTGTATTGATTTCATGAGAACAGGCCTGTGGGTAGGGAAGAAGCAAGAGAGCATAGTCCAGCCAGTGAGGAAGCCCCAGCTCTGTGAGCAGCTGCGTGTGTGCACAGTCTATGCCAAGGGCAGAGCACACTGCGCCAGGGCTCCTTCTGTGTGAGCATCTCCATGGAGGCTTGGGCCTGGAAAGCTGGGGCAAGGGGCACAGATTCAGCAGGTACTTGTGGTGGTTGGCCAGGCCCACGTTCACTTGGAGTGTGTATCCATGCACATGTTTTTAACCACCATGGTTGTATATATTTGCAGGGCTTTGTTTATTGAGACATAATTTGCATGCCACAAAATTTCTGTAGAATGTACTGTGCTGTGGTTTTAGCATATTTGCAGAGCTGTTTTATAGGTTTATGTCTACCAAGAATAAGGTTGGTCTTGATTAAAATGTGAAACTTTATTGGGTCAACTAATAAGAATAGCCTTGGTAGGAGTTACCTGAGATAAAACTTTTTCTGATGTGTGAATTTATTGTTAGAACTTTAATGCATTTTATTAAAATTAAGTGTTAAACATAAATCAGTCACTTGTGTTAACATACTCAGTGTTCTGGAGGTCAGTCTAACTATTAAAACACATAGTCATCAGTGGCCGCTTCCCTCTGGCTGCTAAAGTCTCTGTTTCTGTCCCTTCCAGGTTGTGGGTTGGCTATCAGTATGTCATCACCGGTCGGAACCGTTCTCTGGAAGGTCGCTGGGAGGTAGCATTCAAAGGTGAGCTCTTCTGGTCTGTTGAAAGTGTTGTTGAGTTTGAAATTGGGGGGACTCATCCTGACTTGGTATATTGCTGGATCCCCCTTCTCCTCACCTAGTGTAGCCTGCAGGGTGCCCATGCAGGGGATGTGGAGAGGGTGGGCCCCGATTGCAGGGAGAGGAAGCGCTGGGACCAGCATGGGTCAAGCCCCGTGTCCAGCTGGCACCTTCCCTGGAGTCCCATAGAGGCAGGGACCATGGGTGGCAGCAGGGACAGGGCAAGAGCAGAGGTGGGGCTGCAGAGCCCTGCAGAGAGTGCCACACCCACTGCCCTGCTCCTGCTTAGGACAGACATCACCCATTCTTGCATTCTCCAGTAGCCTACTGAGAGTTCCACCTGCATTTGCATTCTCCGGGTGAGTGAGTGTATTATTTAGGTTTTCCACAGGGGCAGCTGACAAGGAAATGGCTTTTGGGCTTCCAGTCCCACAGTCACAGTGTGCTTCTAGAGGATAATTGTCCAAGAGCAGCTCATCCTCTGCCCTCTTCACTGCTGTTGGAAGTAAATCTTTGAAGCAGAAGAGTCCTGGGCTAGCCTATTGCCTTGACCAGCAGAGGGGACCAGCCTCAGGGCAGGGTGGATACCGCACACAGTTGTCTTCTTGACACTAGCAGTTAAAGGGAGGACAGGAGTCTGCATGGCATGACGGCCCATTCTGAATGAGGGCTCAGGGCCCTCCTCAGTAGCATGAGAATGGCAAGGGCCCAGGTGGGCTCCAGTAGCCATGTTCATCTTAGTGACTTTGTTAGGGCATTAGCAAAGCTCATTTAAAATTTAGAAAAAGACTTAATGTGTGTTTCGGCACTGGCAGTTCTGGCTGATGTACAGCTTCCTATTGGTGTGGCTCAGTGTGCAGGTGGCCCCATGGCAGGGCTGGGGCGCCCTGAGCATCTGGGTTCTGCGTGAGTGGCCGCACGTGGTTGGCTGCTTGTGTCCAGTTAAATGGATTTGAGAATTCTGTTATTAGATTTAAATAGTGGTTACAAAATGAATACATGGCTAACAGAGAGTCTGCTGTTGCAAATTAACTGGCTCTTGACACAGTTCAGCATCATGAGTGGTTCTGGAATCAAAGAAATTAAACATAAAACCAAATGTTGGGTAACCTCCCATTGTGGAAGCTTTTCTGTCCTCTCAATAAATCCTGCTTTCTCGCTTTTTGACTGTCCATGTCCCTCATTCTTCCTGGGCATGAGACAAGAACCCCGACCTGAAGAGCTGCACATGATTGTCAGAGCTGAACAGCAGTACACCCCAGAGGCTAGCTTGCCAGCCGACGGAGCCAGACGAACCTGGAGAGCTGCTGGAAGAAGGCAAGACTCCGAAGCTGAGACACTTCTGGGGGCTGCAACACTCTCAGGGCTTGGTTTGCCAGCCCATTAGAGCCAACACTTCTGCGGCTAGGCTCTTCAGCCCCTCAAGCCGACCCTTTCTGGGGCTCGACTGGCTGACCCATTAAGCTGACACTCTCGAAGCTCAGGCTGACCTGAAAAATCCATATCAGAAGTGTGATACCTCCTGCTTTGTTTCTTTTGTTAAGGATGTTTTGACTATTTGTGGTCATTTATTTTTCATATGGATTTTTTTTTTGAGTGGGAGCTCACTCTGTCACCCAGACTGGAGTGCAGTGGCCGCTCCCGGCCACCGCAGCCTCAACCTGCTTGGCTCCGGTGATCCTTCCGCCTCAGCCTTCCGAGTAACTGGAATTACAGGTGTGCGCTACCAGCTAATTTTTTAATTTATTGTAGAGATGAGGTCTTGCCAAGTTGGCCAGGTGGGTCTCGAACCCGC